CAGGCCGACGCTCTAACCACTGAGCCAAACCGGTTTTGGCAAATACATCTTAATTTATCGAAAAAGAATAAATAAATAATACTGAGAATGATTCTTACTACTCCTGCTGAGAGAATAGTTTACAACCATTTATCAGATGACTTTTAGGTCAAGAGTGTCTGTAGATTTAAGTTCTGGATCATTTGCATTCTTTTTTATGGTTGAACCTCTTTAATCATTAATATTCATCTTCATGCTAACAAAATAGATGTTAACAAAAAGTAAGGCAATACCTAGAAGGTGTTGCTCCATTAGTTTCAGAGTTTTCTCTCGTTCATCAAGTTCTTGTTTTTTCTTTTTCATTTCAGGAGACTGCAGGTACTCTAATTCACTGTTAAGTTCCTTGGTCAAACTGTTCAACTTGTCCAGAGCATTACGATACTGTTGAAGAAGATCTGCAAAGAAACCAAAGGCATTTGATTAAAACTACTGATATATCAAATTAGGGTTTTAGGAAAGAAGAATTAGCAACAATGGGTACTAGGTTATAGTAACACGTGGGAACTACTTTTAAAGCCACAAAACATTCAATGTAAACAAATGAAATAAAAGAGCACACTTTAGACCTGAGCACAAAACTATTAGACTGCTAAATTTTAATTTTCTTCAATTGCTTGACTTTAATAAATTTATTTCTGTGTAAGGAGTTTTCTACATTAAAGTGCTCTGTAAATGGGATCATACAATGTTTACATCCTGTTTGATATTCAGTATCTAATCTAACTCCACATAGACAAATTTAAGGAGGGATGCAAATGCATCAAAGGCAGCACTGTTAGAAAATCCTTGCTCCTAGCAGACATGACTGTTACCTTAATCACAGCTTTCAAAGATGCACTTTTGATAAACTACTTATTTTTTTTAAAAAAATTAACTTTCCTTATATTACTTTTCTTAAAATGTAGTACAACACAGACCATAGTGTGATGATAGCCAGAAGGAGAGGGGGGTGAGGGCTAGGTGGAGTGGGCAAAGGCAGAGGAGGGAGGGAAGGGGGATGGAAAGTCTTTTGTTTGGGGCAATGGGTGTACGATGCAGCCTGCAGATGATGTTTCATTGAGTTGTACACTTAAAACCTGTATTGCTTTACGAACCAATGTCACCCCTATAAATTCAATTTTTAAAAAAGTAAAACTAAATGTATTAAATTATTCAAATTTGAGACTATTTATCGCCTGTATGACTTACTTGATACTAAATATTAAATACAGTGACTACACTCTAGTCCAGGGGTTAGCAAACTACAGTCCACGGGCCAAGAATGCTTTATACAATTTTAAATGGTTATATTCTAAACGGCTATATAAATACCTTCATACTACCCTTGATTTTGTCTCTTGGCTCACAAACCCTAAAATATTTAATGTCTGGCACACACAAATATGATCGATAGTCATGAGAATAAAGAAAAAAATACCTTAACATTTAATAAATATACAGAGTAGTTTACATATAAAACTGTGAAAGGTATTATTTAAGAGCCAGGCTCAAATTGATTTGAGAGAGGAAGCGGGGGGGGGGGGGGGGGGGGGGACGCAGGAGGGAGAGGGGGTGCTGGGCTAAGAGCACAGGCGAGAGAGGAAGAGAGAATGAGAGAGAAACATTGATAGGCTGGCTTCCGAAGGCACCACGACAGGGGGATGGAAACTGCAACCTGGGTGTGTGGCCTGACCAAGAATCAAACGCCACCTTTTGGTGCACAGAACAATGCTACAAACATCTGAGCCACACCGGCCAGGGCTAAGTGTCTTTGCTTTTCAATTAAAGAATTTAATGTATTTACATGTTACTCAAGGTCTTATTTCTAATCATCTTATTTTGTAACATGTAAATATTCTTTTCTTCCTTCTGTTTTTTGCTCTGATTTGCTGTTACCTCATATTAAATACTACAATGCAAAACACTGTGTAGGTAAAATTATTTGAAGGCACTTTGCTTTAATTGTGTTAGTATAATTTTTGTGGAGGTAATGTGATTGAAAATTGGGTTTTCTCTGCAAACATCCCATGATATACTAGAAGGAGGTTCCTCAAAGCTCTGTTTTATCTGGTCTTTACTATGCTGGTTGATTCAGGAGGGACAATCTCACTCCTAGGAGTTGTAGAATCTGAGTTCTGTTAAAAGATGCACTCCAGGATGAAGGTGAAAGGAACTCAAAGCTGCTGAAAGTCTGAGAGCCATTTCTGGTTTTTTCTTGGCTGTTTCCAATCTTCTTTGAATCTGTGATTGCTTCCAGTTTCCTTCTAAATACATTCCCATCTTGCTTCAAGTTGTCAGGGCTGGCTGCTACTGCTTACAACCAAAAGTACTTTGTACATATCAATAATCTTAAACTGTCTCGTTTGATTTTTTAAAACTGTTTGTCAAATATTTAAATTTTTATTGTTGAATCATTAGTCTGTATATAGAATGTATCTTTGAAATATATATCCAGAAGGATTAAGCATCTGTTATATTTTTGAAGTCCTTGTATTATTTGTCAACTTTACATATATAAACAACCCAATAGAGAACCCAAATCTTTAATTACAATCTTTTCTTCCCTGAAGTCTACAGATAATGCCTTATGGTTATACTAATGTTTAGGTACCCAGGTAAACTAGAAATTCTGTCTGTATGGCACTTGTGTATTTTAAAAGTACCACAGGTAATTCTTTTTGTTTGGGAACACTGCATAAACTGTAGTGCTAGAGTGATAAGGGTTGAGGCTTTTTTATGTTGATTCACTGCTCCCCCCCGCCTGATTTCTTACAGTTTGTTTAGATGTTCATTTATTGTCTACACACAAGACTTTTGTAAGCATTCAATGCCATTATAAACTGAAGTAATGGACCTTTGTACTGTGTATAATTTTAATTTTCTATATATTATGATATGTTGACATCTTTAAAGACCTTTCTGGCTGGGAAACAGACTGCCCCTCCCAGAGTTAGCCAATTCTTGAAGATAGCAAGGGGCTCAGCATACCTTTGATATGTAACTAACTAATCCAGAGCCAAACCTCCTCTATCTGGCCTGTGCATGCCAAGACGCAATATTCTTCTGCCTTATCATCTCAGGGCCAGTTACCAGGCAACTAGCTAGAGACCACACCTATAACCCAAAGCCCATTGGAATTATTCAAACTAGTCCATCCTGAACTGTCCATCCTGTGATGTGTGGCTCTCCCTCAGAAACCCCAATAAAGGCTGTGGCCTCAGCACTCTCCATCCTGTCTTCTCAAGAATATTATTCAACCCTAAAAAGAAAGGGTTTTCTCATATATGCTATAACATGGATGCACCTGGAAGGCATTAACCTAAGTGAACTAAGCCAGTTACAAAAGGTCAAATACTGTCTGAGTCCACTTATATAATGTGCCTAGAATACTCCAATTCACAGAAAATAAACCCTAGTAGTTGTCAGGACACTGGGGCAAAAGGGCAAGAGGAGCAGCTGTTTAATGGGTACAGAGTTTCAGTTTTGCAAAATAACAACAGGTTTGGAGATTGGTTGCACAACAATGTGAATGTACTTAATACTACTGAACTATACATTTAAAAGTGGTTAAGATGATACATTTTATATTATGTGTATTTACCATTTTTTATGAAATAGTAACAACAAACTACTTTTTACTGAAAAAGTAGATACCCAAGTATATTAAAGCTATATAAAATTAAGAGCAAATAGGCTCTATGGTAATGGCCTGGAGCGGGCTTCCTGAAAAAGTACAGGTGACCTTTAAACAACACAGGGTTAGGGGTGCTGACCAACTCCCCTCACCTCTGAATACCAAGATCCACAGATGCCCAAGTCCCTTACAAAACATGGTGTAGAACAAGGCATACAGTCAGCCCTCCACATGTGTGAATTCCCAACTGCAGATGGAAAATACTGTTTTCAATCTGCTGTTGGTTGGATCCAAGGATGCAAAACCTGGGGATATAGAGGGACAACTGTATATTTAGTGGGAAAAAAAATTCCTCATGTAAGTAGACCCATACAATTCAAGCCTGTATTGTTCAAGTGTCATCTGTATATATACTTCAGAGCACAGATGTAAAAACAATTATATTGGATAACTAGAAAAGAGCTTGTAGAAGGGAAAATGGGGGAGGGAGGTCACATGTCATGAACAAAAACATCTTATTCATATTTGTTACTAGATTACTTTTCATGTTAGAATATCAATACACAAGCCCCAGATAAAGTATTAAAATTAAATGGGAAATTGTTATTTAGGAACTTAAACAACCTACCTATTTGTTGCCCTAAGACCAGGCACTGCTTTGGTACTGGAGCTCCAAATACCATTCCCCGAAGTTTGTCCATTGGAGGAGCTTTATTCTGAAGGCCCCCAAACTTTCCATTACTTCGAATGCGATCTCCATCTCTTGTGAGCAGTGTAGGACAGTGTGTGATTTTAACAACCTATTTTATGTAAACAGATATTAATTAGTGAGTCCATAAAAGTTATTTCAATTGTTCTAAGAAAGGAGAAATCATTTAAGAATTCTGAAATTAGAAATGACATGCCCATGCTAGTATTTATATAAATATTTTAATAAGCTAGTGATGTGTAAGATGAATTGGGGAAAAACAAGAGGCAGGGCAATAAGTTAATATAATTCTCAAGTGTTAGCCTAAGTTAGAATAGTGACAACACAAATGGAAAAATGTGAAATTGACAGTTTGCTTGATAAGAAGAAGGAAGAGAGAGGGACCAGCAAGAGTAGGCTGTGCTTCTGAAAGCCATGGCAGTATCAAGGCAGCATCATTAGTTTAATTTCCTTCTGTGAAATACAAATTTTACAGATGACCAAAAAAAAAAAAAATAGCAGAGAAGATTAGACTGAAGAAAATACAGACTGAAAATCATAGCGCTGAATCTTTAGTGGGAAGTAAAAGAGCTAGTAATGTGAGAGTTAGGGGAACTAGAATTACATAGTAAATCCTAAGTCATGGAAAAAAAGTAGGTAGGGTTAGTCAAGAATTAAATTCTTCAGAGAAGTGAGAGAATAAAAGAGACACTATATTTAATATTTCATGAACTTCAAGAATGTTCTTTCAAAAAAGATTTAGGAAAGTATAAAAAAATTAAATGTTTGCCCTAGCTGGTTTGGCTCAGTGGATAAAGCATCAATCTGCGGACTGAAGGGTCCCAGGTTCAATCCCCAATAGGGAGTTTACAAGAGGCAGCCGGTCAAGGATTCTCTCTCATCATTGACTAGAGGCCCGGTGCACGAATTTGTGCACCAGTGGGGGGGGGGAGGGATCCCTTGGGCTGGCCTGCGTGATCGGGCCGAAACCAGCTCTCCAACATCCCCCTGGTGGTCAGTGTACGTAATAGCGAGTGGTTGAGTGGCCTTAGCATATCATTAGTATACTAGAGGCCTAGTGCAAAAATTTGTGCACAGGGGGTCCCTAGCAGCTGCTGGCTGCCAGCCAGGGCCTCCCTCTCCCTGGCTGCCTGCCGTCACCCTGGCTGGGGTGGACCTGCCAGGGGGAGGGACCACAAGTGGTTGGCCAGCCGGCCTCGCCCCCTGGTCGACTCCCCAGTCGAACTCCTGGTTGAGGTGACAATTTGCATATTAGGCTTTTATTATATAGGTTTATACTTTGGTTGAACGGCTGACTGGACAACTGGACGCTTAGCATATTAGGTTCTTATTATATAGGATAGGATGTTTCTATCTCTCTCTCTCCCTCTCCCTTCCTCTCTGATATCAATACAAAAGAAAAAATTTAAATGTTCAACTTCAAAGGTCATCAGAGAAGCAGAATTCAAATGAGATATAGTTACTACTCAGAATGTTAACACATGCATACTGCACTGCACACCACCCTGAATGTTGGGAGAGCTATGGAGAAAGGGTCTTTTTGTCCTAATCTGCTCTGCAGCAGCCCTCCTAAAAGGAAATGTGAAAGTATTAAATAGCTTAACACTCTGCAAGACCCAGCAATTCTATGTCTAAAAAGTTACTCTGAAGAAATAAAGATATGAACTATATGAAACTGAATGAAAAATATGAAACTCACATTTCAATAAGTTACAGAAATAATGGTAAATCCACACAATAGAATGTGTACATTAAAAAAAAATGTCTGAAGAACATTATAAGTTAACATGTAAAACCTACTCCAATCTAATAGTAAGGGTAAAATAGTCTCTGATTTATAAAAATAAAATTTGATATTTTAAAAATAAAAAAAGTAGATCATGCAATAAAAAATCATGACCAGTATTTACTCTTCTATTATAATTCCAGGGGTACTTTACAGAAGTTTTCTCAACAAATTGGATCTTAAAAAATTTAAATGCAGCAAAATGCTCACTTGAAGAAAATGTGTGGTGAATTCTTTGATAAAGTGAATCAGTAAAACAACACCTTACTTTCTTAGTTTTGGTTTGGATTTTTGTGTTTTGTAAAAGCAAACATTAACAATACAAACTGGATTCATGTATTATCCATTTATCAGGAGTCAGCCAATGTTTTTAAGGATCTGATATCCACTTAAATAATAACACACTCAAACTTACAGACTTGTCTATTTTACTGTTAACAGAATGACGGATATAAGATATAAGCCTCAAGTAGAAAGAATGTTTTGGCTCCCCTTTTAGAAAAAATATGCTAGTATTATGTTCATGAATAGTTTTTTAATGTGCAAAATATCCTTCAATCTTATAATTCTACTTGACTAAGCACTCTACTAGGACAAAAACAAACAAAAACAAACGAAAGAAATGACAGCATGTGCAAATCCAGTGAGTGAACATCAGCCCTACCACTCTGGGAAATAACTATTCACAACTCCTGCAGGGACTAGCAAGGGGTGGAATAAACAAAGGGTTGAAATAATATAAATGGCAAGAAAAAAATTAGGAAGATAAAACAGTAACAAAAACTACTGAGACTTTACAATGTAACCAAGGGATGCATAAAAGTCTTTTCTCAGAAGAGCTTTCAAACAATATTTAGCCATTGAAATTACATATGACTTACTTCAAAACTTTGGAAGCAAAGAAATCAATACATGCTATACCAGTTATGAGGAGCATATACTGTACCTGCTTTTTCACATATACTCGCATTACGTTTTTTAAAGCTATGGATTGGTGGCTTTCATCAGTTTTAAAAAATTTTCACCCATTAGTTCAAATGCTGCTATGATCCTCATCTTGGCATTATAATTAGACTTTTTTGTTCTTTGAGATTTTTCTCATTATATTTTCCATGATCAACCTTTTTTTAATATTCCTTCTTTCTGAGCTGCAGTCTGGATAATTTTTCTTACCTATTTACCAATTCACTATTCTCTCTTAAGCTGTGTTACTTGTCCAGTATTTATTACATTTTTTATTTTTAGAAGCTCTATTTGATTTTTTTAAAAATATATTTTATTGATTTTTACAGAGAGGAAGGGAGAGGAAGAGGGATAGAGAGTTAGGAACATTGATGAGAGAGAAACATCAATCAGCTGCCTTCTGCACACCCCCTACTGGGGATGTGTCTGCAACCAAGGTACATGCCCTTGACCGGAATCAAACCTGGGACCCTTCAGTCCTCAGGCCGATGCTCTATCCACTGAGCCAAACCGGTTAAGCTCTATTTGATTTTTAAGTTGACTTGTTCTCTCCTAATTTTTTAAAAATATATTTTTTATTGATTTTAGAGAGGAGAGGAGGAAGGGAGAGGGAGAGAGATAGAAACTTCAATGATGAGAGAGAATCATTGATCAGCTGCCTCTTGCACAACCCCCACTGGGGATTGAGCCACAACCTGGACATGTGCTCTGACCGAGAGTCAAACCATGACCTCCTGGTTCATAGGTCGACACTCACCACTGAGCCATGCCACCCGGGCTGCTTTCCTAATTTTTAACACTTTTATTTCTTGAATTATATTAAACATATTTTTAAAACCTGCTCTATATTCAATATGGAAATTATTTCAGTTCTAAGATAAAGTTGAATTTCTCCAGAGAGAATCTGTGTTTCCTCTGATCACATATCTAAGGACACTATCAGGTTAGCACCATATGAAACCAAATATTTACCTTCAGATTTTTCAGACCATCCAAATATTATGAATGCAGGTTACAAATAGACATGAGGGCAAACCTGTTATACTTTGATAGGCCAACCTATCAAATTCTCCAGGAGAACAATTTAATATTTTTTCTTTTCTTCTACTTAAAACCAAAGGTTCAAGAGAGGCAATTTTCTTGCAGTCTCCAGGGGCACTTGGAGTTGAGACCAAAGTGGCAGGTATAATATTTCTTTGTTTACCCTTACACTAAGATTTAACCCTTTGGGGGTTCCAGTTTATTGGGAAAGGGTCTTCTATCACTACTTGGAGAAACTCACAGATATATGAGAACTAATACGTGTTACTGTTTAAAGCAACTTTTGGAGTGTTTGTATATAGCAATAGACTGAAACGTGTATACTGCCCAACTGTGCCTTCTAAGGTGTTATGGGTTGAATTATGTATTTCAAAATTCTTATATTCAAGTCCTAACCCTTAGTCCCTCAGGATGTGATCTTATCTAAAGATAAGGTCTGTACAGAAGTAAGCAAGTTAAAGACGTAATTAGCCCTGGCCAGTGTTCTCAATGGTCAGAGCATCAACCAGTATACCTAAGGGTCATGGGTTCTATTCCTGGTCAAGGGCACATACCTGGGTTGCAGGTTTGATCCCCGGCCCCAGTCAGGGCATGTTTGGGAGGCAATTAGTCGCTGTACCTCTCTCACATCAATGTTTCTCTCCTTCACCTCCCTCCTACTTTCTCTCTCTCTTAAAAAAAGAGAAAAAAAGAGGGCCCTAATCCAATGAATGGTGCCTTTATAAAAAGGGGATATAGTTATGCACAGATATGAATAGAAGAAGCCGACCATCTATAAAACAAGGACAGAGGCCTGGAAGATATCCTTCCCTTACAGCCCTCAGAAAGAATCAACCCTTTTCAGGCCTTGAATATGGATTTCAAACCTCCAGAACTGAGAGACAATAAATTTCTGTAGTTTAAGTTACCCAGTCTGTGGTACTTTGTTACAGCAGCCCTAACAACTAATAAACAAGGGATACTTAAAATTACATTTCTACCAACATTAATGATAGCACGCTTTTCCAATACCATCCTATATAAGAGAAACATGTAAATTGACTGTCCCTCCGCTACGCTCACCAGCCAATCAGGAGCATGCAAATTAACCTGACAAAGATGGCAGGTTAATTTGCATACACAGGCTCCAAGTGGCGTGGGTCCCGGGAACATCCTCGGGACCCAGGTCGCTCCTAGCCTGTAGGCCTGCGCATAGGCTCTGAGTAGCTAGGGTCCCAGAATGCCTCCGGCCACTCCAGGCCTACAGGCGCAGATGCCAAGCAGATGTTCCTGCCCCATGGCCGCCTGCACGTGTGCTGGCACCAAGGGGTGGCCCAGTTCCACACCCCCCAGCCCAGTGCCCACAACGCAGGGCTGCTGGTCTGAGAGGTGTGTCCCCGGCGGCGGTGGCTGCTGCGTGGCCCCAGGCCGCCCGCCCCTAGCCCATCGCCCACAATGCAGGCTGGCTGCCGGCCTTGGGGGCATGCCCCCTTGGCAGCAGGAACATGCCCCTAGCCCAGTGGACACAATGCAGGGGGTCCTCTGCGCATGAGTTGCAGAGGAAACACCTTTTCTTTTCTTTTTATTAAAAAATATTTTATTGATTTTTTTACAGAGAAGGGGAGAGGGATAGACAGTCGGAAACATCGATGAGAGAGAAACATCGATCAGCTGCTTCCTGCACACTCCCCACTGGGGATGTGCCCCCAACCAAGGTACATGCCCTTAACAAGAATCAAACCTGGGACCCTTCATTCTATAGGCCGATGCTCTATCCACTGAGCCAAACCACCTTTTCTGACTGCTCATTGGCTAAGCTCCCTGTACATCGCCATTTGCAGTGTTTTTGGTAACTTGGGTTATAAGAATCCAAGAAGGTGATCTAGGGTTTTCCCACCACACTCCTGGAGGAAAAAACAAAGGTCTGCTGCTGGAGGGGCTAAGAAATGTCATGTCCTGCCCTAGCCGGTTTGGCTCACTGGATAGAGCCTTGGCCTGCCAACTGCAGGGTCCGGGTTCAATTATGATCAAGGGCATGTACTTAGGCTGCAGGCTCCTCCCTGGCCAGGGCCCAGATCAGGGTTCATGCAAGAGCCAACCAATCAGAGTGTCACTCTCACATTGATGTTTCCCTCTGTCTCTCCCTCTCTCTCTTCCACACGCTCTAAAAAATCAATGGGAACATATCCTCAGGTGAGGATAAAAAAAAAAGGAATTGTCATATCCTATGAAAGACACATCTTGAAAATGACTGTTCAGTCGTCCGCTCGGTTGTTTCGGTAAGCTGCAGTCTGGCCACCCTCTGCGGGAGGCGACCGGGCTGATCATGGGAAGGCTGAATGGGGCGACAAGGCCGGCAGTGGGGTTAGTGAGGGACGACCAAACAACTGAGCAGCAGGCTATGTGGGGCGATCAGGCTGGCAGAGGGTTTAGTGAGACACAACCAAACAACTGAACAGCAGGCTGTGTGGGGTGACCAGGCTGGCAGGGGATGCAGTTGGTGGCAACCAGGCCTGCCGGGGAGGCAGTGAAGGACGACCAGGCTGGCAGAGGGGGGCAATGAGGGACAACTAGGCCAGCAGGGGGGACAGTTGGGGGCAACCAGGCCGCAGGCGTGGCCGTGAGGGGAAACCAAGCCGGCAGGGGGCCTAAACCGGCAGTTGGACATCCCCTGAAGGGTCCCAGATTGGAGAGGGTTCAGGCTGGGCTGAGGAGGACCCCCCACCCCCATGCACCGGGCCTCTAGTCATCAATAATAGATATCAGTTTTGAGTCTTCGATAATTTCATAGCCCCAAAACATGCATGATTTTAACTTGCATGATGGCCAATTCATTATTTTGCCCAATTTTATGTTGCTTATTGATATGTAGTATTTAAATTGATTTTGACAAGGTTAACCATTTGCACATCTGTCATAAAATAATTTTTTTGCCATATAGGTCTACAGTATATTAAATTTTAAAAATACATAATAGAACTAGAGCTACAAGTTAAAAAAGAATTCAATACATACCTCTCTTCTATAATGATTGGCAGCATCCAAATTATCCAAAATAATGGTGTCTCCTAATAGCATACCAAATACTAAAAAATTCAATAAACAAAATTTTAACTTGACATATTCTTTGATTACATTAAAATATTAACACACATTGAACATTTTTAATAAAGAATGATAATTTAGAATTTTATTCAACACTTTCCTATAATTGGAAAAAATTAGAGAATTAAATATTAATAAAGTTGTTACTTATAAACTAAATAAGAACATAAATCCCATAATCAATAATTTATATGTCTGGATCACATATGTAACATCTATATAAAATAAAGTTACCATAATTTCCTTTACCTGTTTCACAATGTTCTATGTTATCAGGAAATGTTAACAAATCTCGGGCAAAGACTGGATCTCCAATGGGTCTAAAATATAATTTTCCATTTCGATAATGAGGCAGAGGTCTGAATGAAAAGAAAAATTTAAAAAGTATTAAACAAAACTCATACAACTTTTAAATTAAAAAATATAAAATATGAAAAACGAATATATTGCAAATTACTGTAATCACTAAATTAACTCTCCATCCATAAGTAAAACTCCTAAATGATTATTATGCCCTTAGAAATGATATTCCATATACAAATATCTACTTAGTTTTATCTGTACTATTACCCTCAATTAGTTTGTCAAGTCAATATAAACTAACTATTTTTTAGTTTGACAACAAAAGAAAAGCAAGCTCTAAAGCTGGCCCTAAATGAGGATGCCAATGATACGACTGTGTCATGGGAGAGGGGCCCTAGAATGAAGGGAAGGGGCAGAGCTAAGACTGAGACACACGAGGGAGGTAGCTCAAAGCCCTGGCTGTCTGTTTTTCCCTCACAGCATACAAATAAGCAATTGAAGCTCAGAAGTAACAATGAAATTCCAAAGGTGGAAGTTGGTTGGGATGTCGGGCCTTTCATCTCCACATAATATAGCTCCTTCCAAATCTTGAAGGTGGAAGTGCTGGAGGGTAAGGGTGGCTCTAGGAGCTAGTTAATTCAATCTCAATTAGAGGAACAATACCAGGAAGAGAGAAAATAACTAGCTGCTGGAGCAAACATTAGTTCTAAATACCAAATTCACGGCCCTAGCGAGGCTTTGACGGCCCCTGTGAGGTTGAAACGGCCCCTGTGAGGCTGGGACAGCCCCTGAGAGGTTGTGACAGCCCCTGTGAGGTTGCGACGGCCCCTGTGAGGCTGAGATGGACCCTGTGAGGCTGAGACGGCCCCTACAAGGCTGCGCCGGCCCCTGGGAAGCTGAGAAAAATACAACTTGATCTCACTCATTTATGGATAATAAAGACCATTATAAACTGATGAACAAAAATAGATACAGAGGCAGAGCAGCATTGAACAGACTATCAAACTACAGTGGGAAGCCTGGGGAGGGTTGCAGGGGGTGGTAAGAGATCAACTGAGGGACTTGTATGCATGCATGTAAGAATAACCAATGAACACAAGACACTGGGGGGTAGGGGAGACCGGGGGAATGTCAAGGGGGGGAAATAGGAGACATATGTAATACTCTTTGTAATACTTTAAGAAATGAAACAAATTTTTTTTAAAAAAATAAATAAATAAATACCAAATTCATACTTTCCTTAAATCATGGATTCTTAATATAGTCTTCAGGGATTACAAACATAAAAGAAGCCCCTCCTGGAGGAAAAATTATTCTCACAAAAAATATTATTCTTATTAACACAGTACTTATGATTTGATGGGATTTCCTAAATTGTTTAAAATGGTTAATGAATCCAACTGGTGTGGCTCAGTGGTTGAGTGTCAACCTATGAACCAGGAGGTCACAGTTCGATTTCCAGTCAGGGCACATGCCTGGTTTGCAGGCTCGATCGCAGTGCGGGGTGTGCAGGAGGCAGCCGAGCGATGATCCCCTCTCATCACTGATGTTTCTATCTCTCTCTCCCTCTCGTTTCTTCTCTGAAATCAATAAAAATATATAAAATAAAATAAAATGGGTATTGACTAGTAGCAGAGTGAGTGATTTGTTTTTTTAATCCTCACCCGAGGATATGTTTTCATTGATTTTAGCCAGTGAGAGATTTTAGAAGCAGACAAATTTGAGTTCAAATTCCAGTTGTTTCCTTAATACATACCGGTGACTGACACTATACTTTCCGTCCGGAAGACAAAACAGGCTGGGCACTTAACGTGTTAAGCTATTTTTAGATTACAAAATGAAATGTTAGTTTTATAACATAGTAGATTCTTAATGAGTTCCCATTTTCCTTAAAATCCCTATTCCTACGCAATTGTAGGCCTTGCAAAGCTTTGTTTATGACTTTGAGAAAAATACTGGTCAATATTCTGTAATTAATTTTTTTGTTTTGTTACCATTTCCTTCCAGTCTTTTAAAGTGAATTTTAAAAAAATAGTCAAACTTAGAGTACACATAAAATATTTTAAATTTTATATTAAAAATAGCTAATTGATTTGAATGGTTGCTACCTAAAAACATACTTTGAAAAGCAAATGAAGAAATAATGTGTGCATGTTCTTGTGTGTGTGTGTGTTTCATATATACAAGCTACATTTAATTAGTAAATTAAACATGGTCAGCATATATAATTCATCTTAATGAAGTATACACATCTGTGATGAAGATGAAGATAGAATAATGTCAGTGATTTGAGTCACTTCTCAGTTTGTTTTAGGCATCTTTTTGAGAAATCATTTTAAAATTCCATCCTTAGTTTAAAAATATATATTATTACAGGAAAAAATAATTACTTCCACTTTTTCCTAACCTTCTCCAATCTGGAAGATTCTTCTTATAAATAGAATCAAGTGGTAACACTTGCTGACGACCTTGGGTTTCATCATAGATACGACGTGCAGCATCAGTGGTCAAGGTTACAACACAATCCATATCACTTGCCAGATGCCAAGAAATAACCATTGCAGCTTTATCATCTTCAATTTGTGCCAAGTGTGCAATCTATAACCCATTAAAAAAACAAGTATAAAACTCTAAATACATAAAAATTTTATAGTAAATATTTAAAAAGTCCAAGTCTAAGGAGCAAAAACACTTCTCTGAAACACATGAATTTACAAAAATTATCAAACTTTAAAAACTTACTGGCTTGAATATCAAACTATCTATTCTGTTGTTAATTTTGAAAAAACTGTTCTACAAATTAAACTCCAATAAATTTTACAAATGAGCAAATAAAAATTTTGGACTATTACCTGCTAATTAATGATGTATACTCTTCACATTTACTATTTCTATCATTGGGAATGTGTTTTAATTAAGTAATCATAAAATACACTTAAATAATATATGCCTACAATAAATGGACTTTAAGATTCAATTAAACATAAATATAGTTACATACCATACCCTTCTAAGTATATATTTTACTCCACAACTACAGTATTTTGTTCAGAAAACAAAACTAAACGTCACAAATAAGAACAATTTCTTCTGCTTAAAAGAACGCTTTGGAGTTTAGGCTAAATACCCACCCTATTTCTTTTCTTTCTAATATACTTTACTGATTTTTTACAGAGAGGAAGGGAGAGGGATAGAGAGTTAGAAACATCCATGAGAGAGAAACATCCATCAGCTGCCTCCTGTACACCCGCTACTGGGGATGTGCCTGCAACCAAGGTACATGCCCTTGACCGAAACCAAACCTGGGATCCTTTAGTCCACAGGCTGACGCTCTATCCACTGAGCCAAACCAGTTAGGGCCCACCCTCCTATTTCCAAATACTTTAGTCATAAGCATTCTTGCTCAAAATACAACAGCGTTGAAATTTTGAGAGCAATATAAAAATTTCATTCACTGCACTGGTACGGTCACATCTACCCTTTATTCATACCTGCCCTAGCAATGAGAAAGTAGTCTGTCACTCTTAGAAACATCATGATGTCCACCTTTGTACTCCAATTCTCTTGAAGTTAGTGGGAAAAAGGTAAGAAAACAGACATGCCGAGAAACTAGCACATGTAAATGAAGATAAAAAAACATGTCCTAGTAGACAAAGGAATGATTGGTAGTGGCAAATCAAATTAGGTGATCTAATTCTATTTTTGACTGCAAGTGCTTGGACAGATTGGTGTCCACTCTGATTATTCACAAGTTACCCTAATCCAGTGGTTCTAAACCTTCCTAATGCCGCGACCCTTTAATACAATTCCTCATGTTGTGGTGACCCCCAACCATAAAACTATTTTCGTTGCTACTTCATAACTGTAATTTTGCTACTGTTATGAATCGTAATGTAAATATCTGATATGCAGCCCTGATCGGTTTGGCTCAGTGGACAGAGCGTCAGCCTGCAGACTGAAGGGTCCCGGGTTCGATTCCGGTCAAGGGCATGTACCTGGGTTGCGAGCAAATCCCCAGTGGGGAGGGGGCA